GGGCACCATACCAGAGAGAGCAGACTCACTAGTACCCAGGGCAGCGGGCTCTATACCTGGGTCAGGCGGCACACACAAGTAACAGTCTCCCTCGGCACTAACAGTCAATGCATACATGGCAGCAATAATAGCATCATAGTCAAGAGCAAAGATATCAACACCAGCCCTCATGAGCTCAGCCCAGCGGGGGCGCTCAACATCCTCGCCCATCTCCTCACGCCAAGCGTCGTCAAGGCGGGAGAAGCAGCGGTACGGGGTGTGGAACCTCCCACACGTCTGTCCCTTGCGGTCACCTGTGCGAATGACATAGGAACAGCGGCCACTGCCCCCCGACGTCCCACGCTGAGCAAGCCACTCACGAAGTTGCTGGGTCGTCTGGGGACGCTGCTGCTGCTGGGAGCTCTGGCCCGAGCCAGTGCCTCCACTCCGACCTCCGCCACCACCACTACCACCGCTCCGACCGCCACCGCCACCACCGCCACCACCGCCACCACCGCCACCGCCGCCACCGCCGCCACCGCCGCCGCCGCCACTACTGCCACTGCTTCCTCCGCCGCCCCCGCCTCCACCGCTAACCCCACTCCCACCAGCGCTCCCGCCACCGCTCCCTCCAGCACCGCCTCCCCCCCCACCTCCCCCACCTCCTCCCCCCCCAGCGCCACCCCCGCCACCCTTGCCCCCCTTGCCCTTGCCGGTGCGGCGCCTCCCACCAGGAGCAGAAGCAGCGCCAGCAGACTCAGCACCAAGGAAGTCAACAGCAGCAGCAGTAGCGTAGGAGGGAGCGAGGGGAGAGGGAGAACACCCCTCAAAGATGGGGGTGCGAGGAGCGCCACGAGCAGCACCGACAGCTACAATGCTCTTTTCGGCCGCTAGCAGCTGCTCCTCTAGGAGGGCGACTGTGAGCTCAGTGGGACAGCGAGCAAGGAAGTGGTCTCGAACTGAGCTGAGGGTGTCAGGGAGACGGGTGACTATGAAGTGGAGTGTCCAGTACAGTGGAGGGGGGTTCTTAGCGCAGAACTCGGTGGGAAGGGCGGCACGCAGGCGAGCATCACTAGTGCGAAGGTGGGTGATAAGATCGGCGACTGTAGCAAAGGTGGACAGCTCAGGGAACAGGTACGGCAGCATGAGGCGGCTAAGCTCGGCTGTGGCAGGCGAGGAGTAGCGAGCAACGACAGCATCGTACAGGGCCTTAGCGGATTTGCAGTCGCCAAAATGCTCGAGCTCAGCTAGCGGCAGGTGACTGCGAATGGCTAGGCGAGCAGCTGCGTCACGAGTCTGCCAGTGGGAACGAACACTAAGCTCAGCTGTGGCAGGAGGGGCAGGTGCAGCACCAGACGCGTAATCATAGAGCGACACATGCTCCTTGCTATCGCTCAGAAGGAACAGCTGCAGGTCATCCAGCCAAGTGGCGAACTTCACAGGGCGGCCCTCAGCATCGAACGACAGCACGCGGATGGAAGCCATAGCGACAGTGCGACTGAGCAAAGGAAGCTGCCGCAGCGCTGCAGGTAGGTAGCTCGGCGGGAAGCGCGGCGGGCGGGCGACGCGGCGAGCGGGCAGTGCGGGGGGCGGGCTACGAAGCGGGCAGCGCGGTGGGCAGGCGGCGCTGCAGGCGGGAAGTGCGGCGGGCGGGCTGCGAATCGGGCTGCGGGGTGGGCGGGCGACGCGGCGAGCGGGCAGCGCGGCGGGCGGGCTGCGAAGCGGGCAGCGGGCGGGCGGGCGACGCTGCAAGCGGGCAGCGGGCGGGCGGGCGACGCTGCGAGCGGGCAGCGCGGCGGGCGGCTGCGAAGCGGGCAGCGGGCGGGCGGGCGACGCTGCAAGCGGGCAGCGAGGCGGGCGGGCGGGCGACGCTGCAAGCGGGCAGCGGGCGGGCGGGCGACGCTGCGAGCGGGCAGCGCGGCGGGCGGGCTGCGAAGCGGGCAGCGGGCGGGCGGGCGACGCTGCAAGCGGGCAGCGAGGCGGGCGGGCGACGCTGCAAGCGGGCAGCGCGGCGGGCGGGCGACGCTGCGAAGCGGGCAGCGGGCGGGCGGGCGACGCTGCGAGCGGGCGGCTCGGCGGGCGGGCGACGCTGCGAGGGGCGCGCGAGGGCGCTAACGAGAGGCGCACGAGGGCGCTAACAAGGGCGCGCGAGGGCGCTAGCGAGGGCGCTAACGAGAGGCGCACGAGGGCGCTAACGAGGGCGCACGAGGGCGCTAACGAGGGCGCGCGAGGGCACTAACGAGGGCGCACGAGGGCGCTAACGAGGCTAGGGCACGGGGTAGCGTGGTAACCGCATGCGAGCGGTGGTGGGCCCTTAAAAAACGGTCGGTAGGTCCTAGGGACCTCCTGCTCTGAATACCATGTTAATAGAACTAGGCAAGAATGGTTGGATTGAAAGAAGCAAGGGTACAAATAGGAAACCCTAGTTGGGGTTGTACCCCATATTGGTGTTAAGTTTTTGTTATATACCCTGCTTGCTGTGTGTTCTAGTGTAGCTACAGTGGTGGTGCACCAATGTGCTCACCTTTCTTTGCTATATCTTGTAACCTTGCTGTAGTGAACCGCACCTTCCTGTTTCTCTCGCTCACGCTACCCCAAACCCTAAGGCTACTATTCTAACATGGTAATCAGAGCAGGCCGTTCCTAGGCCTAGTTTTATGCTCGTTATGGCGGCGCCTCGAGTCGCTGCTGATCGACACGGTGGCGAGCTGCGCAATGGCGAGATCCGTCGCTCCGTGCCCGTTTTGTCTTCCCGTTCGCTCCCATTACGCCTTGCTCGTCGCGCTCGTAGTGCCCTGCTCATTGCGCCCTGCCCGACGCGCCGTCGCTCGCCCCGCCCCGCGCACGACCCCGTCGCCCGAGGCCCGGACGCCTCGCCGCTGGCCACGCACGCTCAGGCGCCAGCGCGAACGTCAGCGCCAGGCGCCGTCGCGGACGCCAACGCCAGCGCCAGCACGGACAGCAGGCACCAGCGCCAGCGCCAGCGCCGACACGTGCGCCAACGCCAGCGCCAGCGCAAGCGCCGGCGGCAGCTCCCCCCCCACCCCCCCCTCCATTTCACGGCTTCCGTCCGGGTGTGAGCCGCCAGCAGCTCCTTCCGCGCTTCTGCCATGGAGAGGGGGTGGGGGGGGGGGAAGAAGGGGAGGAGGGTGAGGGGGTGGCGGAAGTAGACAGGTGCTGAGGGTGTGAGGTTAAAAGGGTTGACTGACAGGGGGGTGAGGACTAAGGGGTTCTTAACGGGGGGGGATCGCATTGAGCGTGCGCGCTCATGCCCGCCTAGCCCACCTCCTCTCCTCATCGGGACTTGGGGGTTCTTAACGGGGGGGGATCGCTATGAGCTTTCGCGCTCAAGCCCGCCTAGCCCACCTCCTTGTCAGAATCCCAGCCACTAACCACTGGGATAAAATGGCTTGTTTGTATAGCGGGTGAGTGCGCCCATAACCCCCCAGGCCGACATGCCTGTAACCCTTCCCTAGGATCATCGGGGATCCCAAGTGGACCTCTGACACCCCCCCGCACTGGGATGCCCGAGGTGCACACACCGGGAATCGAACCCGAGACCTTCGCTCTGATACCATGTCAGAATCCCAGCCACTAACCACTGGGATAAAAGGGCTTATTTGTATAGCGGGTGAGTGCGCCCATAACCCCCCAGGCCGACATGCCTGTAACCCTTCCCTAGGATCATCGGGGATCCCCAGTGGACCTCTGACACTCCTCTCCCTTCCCTCTCTCACCTCCCCTTTGTAAAAGGAGGTTCGTAAGCGGGTTTGCCGGTCCTGGCCCCCCACCTCCTCTCCTCTCCTCTCCTCTCCTCTCCTCTCCTCTCCTCTCCTCTCCTCTCCTCTCCTCTCCTCTCCTCTCCTCTTCTCTCCTCTCCTCTCCTCTCCTCTTCCTAACCTCTCTACCCTCTTCCGCTGCGCCACGTGTACCTGTACTAGTTATCACGGCAAGCAGGTTAAGGGGGTGTGTTAAGTTTTGTTATATACCCTGCTTGCTGTGTGTTCTAGTGTAGCTACAGTGGTGGTGCACCAATGTGCTCACCTTTCTTTGCTATATCTTGTAACCTTGCTGTAGTGAACCGCACCTTCCTGTTTCTCTCGCTCACGCTACCCCAAACCCTAAGGCTACTATTCTAACAATTGGCTACCCCACTACAGCCTACCAACATATAACACATTACAATTTAACAGCAGCAGCAGCAGCAGCAGCAGCAGCAGCAGCAGCAGCAGCGGCGGCGGCGGCGGCGGCAGCAGCAGCAGGCCAAGGGGAAGGAGAAGGTGCCCGAGGACCAGGAATCAGAAGATGAGAGCCGCAGCAGCAGCAGCAGCAGCTGCTGCTGCTGCTGCTGCTGCATCTAGCTCGGATGGGGAAAACTGCTAGTTTGATTCTATTCAAGTGTAATAGTAGTTTAGTGTGCGTATAGTGGGTAATCCACCAGATGAACAAAGTGTAGCAACTAATGTGTTTTAATTTCAAATGCTGTAGCTAGGGAAACAGTAAATGCAGCATGCAAAAAAAATGCCCTGAAGTATCAGGGTTTAGTTCTGGCATGCCGTGTAAAATCAGGGTCCCCTAAGGGGCTCTGCCCTGAGGAGGACACGTATTTCTGAGCCATGCCCTGAGGGCCCAGGGTCCCGAAGAATGAATCTGAGGCCCTTGGGGGGAGGGGAACAAGCAAAGTGTTGAGGGATTTTCTGTACCCCCTAACATGCAACTCACTACAGCCTATATTCTGATACAAACATAGTGTGACTGTCGCCTGCACCTCCATCCGTTAGGGAACATACCCTTTTGCCTCTCTCAGCTCCTCCAAACCAGTCTCCTTCATGATATAAGGCATGGAAATATTGATGAGCTTATTTCCCTGCTGGTGTAGGATGCATGCCTCCCCCCCTGAATTAAGCTGTCGCACCAGCGCCTGCTCCCCTGTACCCAGAATCGTGAAGTTGTCCCAGTTGAGTCCCCCAGGTGCATAAATAGCGAGCTGTAGTGATCCAGCTTCATGAACGGCGCCGCCATTACCCCACTGCGCCCCTGTGCCCAGCTCGCCGCGCTTCGTCCATCACGCGCTGCTTTGGCTTGGCGGGCAGGCGGTGGAAGGGCGACATCGCGGAATCGTACAAAACTGTGTGGTTGGTCCGCCACGCTTCTCTGCTCGCCGATTCCGCCGCCTCCGCCTGCGCGCGCACCGCCTCCGCCACGTCGCTCGGGGACTCCCACGCGGCGCGCACGGCGGCGGGGTCGGGGTTGGGCGCGCGCGGCATGTCGCGGAAGAGGTACTGCTGCGCGAGGAACGCGAGGATGAACCCGCGCTGGTCCTGCATGCAGTCGCGCACGTAGATAAGATCGATGATCTCCGCCAGCGCCCACGCGTACCCGACATAAGCCCCCGCGTTAGGAAACCGATTCACGGAGTGTCTAGGCCTGTTCGGGTCTTTTTCAAGGCGGAGAGGATAGGGGTGATTGGGCGAAGGAACGGGAAGGGGGGAAGAGACGAAGGAGGGATGGAAGGGGGAAGGAAAGAGAGTAAAGGGTGAGGGAAAAGGGTGGATGAGAAGAGAACTCTTTGCGCGACCTCCATCATCATTCACCAGATGCTCAACGTCGAGGTGGGTCCCCTGTCCGTGATGGTTTTAAAGGCCTTTTGCAGATCGCTTCGCAGACGTGTTTCGCATGCGTTTCGCAGGCGTGTTTAAGGATGAGAGAACAAAGAAAGCATCTGCGAGACTGCCAGAACTCACCGGATCGCCGCGTTCATTGGGGGGTTCCGGGTTGAAGAACATCCGAATCAGGTAGTGCCCTGTCGACTCTTGAGTTGATTCCAAGAGCTGCCAGCACTCACCGGATCACCGCGTTCATTGGGGGGTCCCGGGTTGAAGAACATCCGAATCAGGTAGTGCCCGGCGGGGACCGGCATCTCGTAGCAATTCTCGAGCGCGAAGAGGTAGTAGCGCGTGGTCTTCTGGTACATGGGCATGTTGAACTCGTTCGGCACGCCCGTGAGGTTCAGCGTTCCCGCCATGCCGCTCGTGAAGCCGGTATCGCGCGACCACTGCCGGGTGAAATTGTCCGTGAAGTTCTTCATGCCGCCGCTATCGATGCGGATGCCACCTGCCGGGTGAGATAAACGAAGCATACGACTGTGTCAGAATCGATTTTTCGTCCAGACATGCTGCTTGTAAGCTCGTCGTGTAGTAACCACGCGTAGAGCAGAGCCAAAGGACTGGATAAGGGTACGGAAGAAGCCCATAGATGCTGTTTGTCATCGGCATCGGTTGTTCAACATTGCGATTGAAGTCTACCACGGGTCAGCAACAAGCTCGACGTTGGGTGTTTCGTAACAGAGAGTTATGAGTGACACTGTGAGAATGCAGCAAAACCCGTTAAGACGTTACTGGGATCGTGAAGCTGTTGCTGGGTCTAAAGACAGCTAAGGTTGCCAAGAGATTCTATACGGAGGTTTGGCGACTGACCAGTAATCACTTATGGCTGCTTCAATTCCAGTAATTGTGAAATGCTCGCCAACACGCCGTTGGTGATAGCCGTCGACTAGTAGTAAAATTTGACGCGCAAAATCATCGTAACAACTTCAGAACGTACTTGTCTAGAAGGTTGACTGTTGCTGGAAATAGGACGAAGTGGACGTTTCTTACCCCATGGCTTAGCCGCTGCTGGCGCTGCTCTCGCGGCGGAAAGAAGGCTTAGTGAAACGAGAAGCAAAAGAGGCAGAAACGCCGAAGACGGCATCGTGTGACGTTCGAAGCGACTTGTTTTAGTGAGGGGAAGGTCTGTTTTATATGAAGGCCGTAAGAGAGGAAGGAATCCCTTGGGTTTTACCTGGATCGTCAGTCCTAACTCGCCTACCTAATTGCTTACACTCTTCGGTGGGTAACGAGGTAGGCATATCCACTCCGCAGGCGACCACGTGCGAAACCCCTTTTTGGAGGGCTGGCTTTGTACACGCAAGCACGGTTGTGTCTCAGTTAGCGTGGGCTGGGCCCAGAATTACGAGGCTGGGTTACCCCGAAACAAGCCTTGAAATAACGGAAGAGACCGGAAGTTGCTCGCATGCAAACGGGCTGAGGAACGCCCGACTTCAAGACAGAAAATGGGGCCTTTGTCCTTTCGAATCCTATCAGTCCACTCCAAGGCAGTTTTACGTAAGTGTCGTTCCTGCTGTTCTTGAATATCCACATACAACGCGCGGCAGACCTGAGGATTCTGAGATGCCGTACCGTACTGCTGGGCTACGGTTCCACGCACGGTTGTGCTGATTCTTTCCACCTGTGCTGGCGCAGCACGTGGGAGGGAGGGAGAATGTCAGCGACGAATTGGAAGGGCCCAACCCAACCATGTTGTTCAAAACGCGTATCTGACACATTCGACATGTTTGGCGAACTATTCTCGCAAGTAATATCTCACTACATATAAATTAAATATGATCTGACGTAAATGCATATGTAAGGGCCCTATGGATAGTCTCCTGAAGTCCTACCGTGGGAAGGACTATATCTCAGCCATTCTGTGTGTATTATGCAGTCCCACACTTGCCAGCACAACCGCCACATGCAAACCATGGAGAGGGTGCACAGCGAAAGCACCCTCCTCCGCATCCTCTCTCTCCAGCACACTTGATTTGCAGTCAAACCCACCTTCCACGGCCTGCCAATGCCTTCCCTCCTGCATACTCCAGCACCAACCTAGGAGATAGGTTCCCGATTTAGCAGCATAGAGATGCAGAAACAGAAGCAGCAGAAATAGCAGCCAAGATTATTGGCAGCTGTTGAGCTGCAGAAGAAACAGCAACAGCAGGAGAACGAGCAGCCAGCAGAAAATGATGACCTTGACATTCGCCTGCACCTCACTCTCTCAGGGAACATACCCTTTCGCCTCTCTCAGCTCCTCCAAACTGGTCTCCTTCATTATATACGTCATGGAGATATTAGTAAGCTTATTCCCCTGCTGGTGCAGGATGCATGCCTCCCCCCCCGACATAACCTGTCGCACCAGCGCCTGCTCCCCTGTACCCAGGATCGTGAAATTGCCCCACTTGAGACCCCCCAGGTGCATGAACAGCGAGCTGTAGTGATCCAGCTTTATGAACGGCGCCGCCATAACCGCCGCCGTGCCCTGGTGCCCGGCGCGCCGCGCTTCGTCCATCACGCGCTGTTTTGGCTTGGCGGGCAGGCGGTGGAACGGCGACATCTCTGAGTCGAACTGCACCGTGCGGTTGTTCCGCCACGCCTCTCTGCTCGCCGACTCCGCCGCCTCCGCCTGCGCGCGCACCGCCTCCGCCACGTCGCTCGGCGATTCCCACGCGGCGCGCACGGCGGCGGGATCGGGGTTGGGCGCACGCGGCATGTCGCGGAAGAGGTACTGCTGCGCGAGGAATGCGAGGATGAACCCGCGCTGGTCCTGCATGCAGTCCCGCACGTAGATAAGATCGATGATCTCCGCCAGCGCCCACGCGTACCCCGCATAAGCTCCCGCGTTAAGAAACCGATTCACAGACGAACTTCTCTTATGAGGAAAGTACGGCTCTAGCTTCTTCCAATCTGGCCAGCAGAAAATTTCCGCGCCGAAAACAACGGGTGCGTTGAGCGCGAAAAAGGCGTCGAGGAAATTTTGCGGGCGGCATTTGGGGTGCGGCATTAAGAAGACGTCATCGGCGTCCGTGGTAATGACGACGCGATCACGCGGCAGCGCCGCGAGGAAGTCACGGATAGCGCGCAGGCGGCCGCCTTGGCCCGTCCAGGGCTGGCGGCTTCCGATTATCGAGAAGCTTATCCCCGCCATGTGCGCAAAATCCGCGAGGCGCACCATGTTTACCCCGCATTCCGAGGAGTAAATAACCCATTCCAGCTTGCAACCGGACTGCGAGAACTTGTCGCTAAGCAGCGGATGGCTGTCCCACGGATCCGCGCTCGCGTCGTACTTCACCGCGCACCCGTCCGCAACCTCCGCCTCGCCGCGTTTGCGCAGCTCCCGCCCGCGCGCCATCAATGCCTCCCCTTTGGCGACGGCGGCTTCAACTATATTCGTTCATTTCTGCGCATGCAGGTCCGACAGCATGCTGAGCTTGATAAGATGGCCCGCTCGCTGCGTCACGCACGAATCCCATGAATCCCGGAACTCCTCCGCCTGCGGCGAGAGGTTCACACCGAAAATGCTCCAGTAGCAAATGTACGCAAAGACTAAGAGTGCAGAGACTGCACAAGCGAGAACGAGGCGGAGGAGGATTGCGGCCTTGGAGGAGCCGCACAGGCGATATCCTTTGGAAATTAGAGTTGGCGCCATGGGAGACGAGGACAGCAGGGCTGCGTGAAGTGCTCGTGCCATAAACCCAAGGTTTCAATTGGAAGACAGAAGAACACTGGTACAAGAAATCTGTAGCCACAAGCAAAGGTTGATAAGTGAATCTGCTGTAGGGTGGATATGTAGGTTGGTTGCTGTCGCAACGCGGTCGCTGGAAATGCTTTGCGATGCGAATGCCCGCCAGATTTGAAAATACTCCAACCATCAGCTGTTTTGACGGGTCGTTCCTTAGGCCCAGGCCGAACCGTGAAAAGGGTCGGTTGGTCGGCTGATCCGGGGTAAGATAGGGTTGTTTCGAATCTACGTGGCCGCGTGTCAAACTGGTTCTCGTGAACCGATGTGACGTTGGTTCAAAAAATATGGACGTTCTGCGACGCAGTCGTTCACTGTAGTGAGACAGCCAAGCGACCATCCCCCCGAAATCCTCCAACCAGGTTCGACTTCAGTGATTGCTTCCGTCTCCCAGCTGGTCGCCGTTTGTGAACTTCGAGTTGTGTTCGGCTGGAAACCCCACGAAAAACGACTGCGACGTCGTCCACCTAGGCCGTGCGATTTGTTTCGTGGCTGGATTCTGCTGTTCCTGACGATTCCGATTTTGTGCATTTCACACGCGCGGCAAGTTTGACATGCTGTGATACAATGACACGCAATCGTGTCAGGCAAAGACGCCACGCTGGCATTAATTTACTTTCTTGAAGTGTAAAAACTATGTGTTATGAATTCCAAAATGTTCATCGCTCCTCTCAGCCAGTTGAATGGCATTGATGCGAAGTTGACTACAACGTGGTTGATTCTGGGCGCGGTGAGTCTCTACAATAGGTAAGTCTAGTATACCAGTACCTATTAGCGCAAAACAGGCTTCACAGGCCCCAGACCAGAGTGCCAGACCAATCGTTAGGCCTGGCTGGACCAGAGCACGTCTCCAACATGCACCGCTTCAGCCAACGTGATTGGTTCTGCGCACTCCGAATCTGACGAGGCGTGGAAAATGTGCGACAACACCCCCGGTACAGAACACCACCGCGAAGGAATCCAGCATGCGAGGTTTGCGGATTTCGCAAACACAGATCGCTCCAGCCATGAGAACCATACCGTGTTGCAGAACATCCCAAACAAGAGCTCAAGTTCCCCGAACAACCAGGAAACCACGATGCACCGTCAAATATGCATTTGTTTAACTTTAGCACCATTTTTTCACCCATTTGGTTCAATAGGGCGTGTGCACTATTTCACATTTTAAGAAAATCGAACTTTGTGATCGAACTTTACTTATGATTGTTATTCGAACATCCACCATTCGAACTCTGACTTTTACCACGATATTTCTGTAACACCCATCTAGTCGTCGCGCATTAATTTTTCGGTACTTTGTCGCCATCGTCGCACAAATGCTGATTGGGTGAGGCTTTGTGCGGAACTTGATCGCGAGTGTTGTAACGTCGCGTAAGTTGGGGCCCGAGCCGCGTTCGGGAGTGATGTTCGATTGTTGGAGGGAACGCAAAATTCGAACACGTCAAACTCGAAAGTGTAACTAGCCTGAAGTGTCTCCGCGAAATTGATTCACGATATTCACGAATTCTGGTTACCAACAAAGTTCGATCACTTTTGAACTTTCGTGCACACGCCCTTAGCTCCTCTCATTCGAAAACCGTATGAAATCACCGTATGAAAGTTCTCTTTGCTGACCTGCTTGCTCGCTCTCTATCACCGAATTCACGCACCACGTCGATACGAGTCACCACTGCAGTAGTACTCGCCTGGCAAGCATTGCTCCGCCATGCCTCCACGGCGCCAGTCTTGGTTCCCTCCACAATGCCACACGTTCTGGAAAGCCGTCACAGCTAGAAGGCTCAGCTGCGTTGCAGTATCCCGCTCGTCAGTAACCGTTGCAGTTGTATGCTTCAGTCTAGCATGCGGAGCCCTAGCCGCCATAGCATTCTTAGCAATATGCTACTGGTCCGTCTTCGGGCAGAACCTCTCGCCGCAGGCGGAGGAGTTCCGCGACTCGTGGGATTCGTGCGTGACGCAGCGCGTAGGCCATCTGTTCAGACTCAGCATGCTGACCGATCTGCGCGCGCACGAGTGCACGGATCTCGTGAAAGTCGCAATCGCGCAGGGCGAGGAGCTGATGGCGCGCGGGAAGGAGCTGCGCGCGCGCGGAGCGGGTGCCGGGGGTGCGCCGCCGGTTCCCGCGGATGGGTGCGCGGTGAAGTACGACGCGAGCGCGGATCCGTGGGACAGCCATCCGCTGCCTCCCGGCAAGTTCTCCCAGTCAAACTGCCAGCTAGAATGGATGATCTACTCGTCTGAATGCGGCGCGAACATGGTGCGCCTCGCGGATTTTGCGCACATGGCGGGAATAAGCTTCTCCGTGATCGGAAGCCGCCAGCCCTGGACAGGCCAAGGCGGCCGTTTGCGCTCGATCCGCGACTTCCTCGCGGCGCTGCCGCGCGATCGCGTCGTGATCACCACGGACGCCGACGACGTCTTTCTCATGCCGCACCCCAAATGCCGCCCGCAAAACTTCCTCGACGCGTTCTTTGCGCTCAACGCGCCCGTCGTTATCGGCGCGGAGATCTACTGCTGGCCGGATATGGCCAAGCTAGAACCTTTCTACCCGCCCAGGAACAGACACTCCGTGAATCGGTTTCTTAACGCGGGAGCTTATGCGGGGTACGCGTGGGCGCTGGCGGAGATCATCGATCTTATCTACGTGCGCGACTGCATGCAGGACCAGCGTGGGTTCATCCTCGCATTCCTCGCGCAGCAGTACCTCTTCCGCGACATGCCGCGCGCGCCCAACCCCGACCCCGCCGCCGTGCGCGCCGCGTGGGAGTCCCCGAGCGACGTGGCGGAGGCTGTTCTCGCGCAGGCGGAGGCGGCGGAATCGGCGAGCCGAGCGGCGTGGCGGAACAACCGCACGGTGCGGTACGACTCCGCCATGTCGCCGTTCCACCGCCTGCCCGCCAAGCCAAAGCAGCGCGTGATGGACGAAGCGCGACGCGCTGGGCACCGGGACGCAGCGTCAGTAATGGCGGCGCCGTTCATAAAGCTGGACCACTACAGCTCGCTGTTCATGCACCTGGGGGGCATGCCCTGGGAGCATTTCACGATTCTGGGTACAGGGGAGCAGGCGCTGGTGCGACAAGCGGTGTCGAACGGGGAGGCATGCATCCTGCACCAGCAGGGGAATAAGCTGGCGAATCTGCCCATGACGTATATTATCAATGCGACGGGACTGGAGGAGCTGAGGAAGGCGAGGGGATACGTTCACTAGTGTATCAGGACAGAGGATCAGCTGCTGCTGCTAATGCTGCTGTCGCTTAGCCACCTCCTCTGCTGCTGCCGCTGCTGCCGCCGCTGCTGCTGCCTTTGTAGGTATGTCTATCAAGCAGCGCTGCATCCGTTGCCATTCCAGGTGCTGTGCTGTGTGCTGCTGCTCTACTTTCGTTCTCAACTGCTCATGGCTGGCTGGCTGGCTGACTGGCTGGCTGGCTGGCTGACTGGCTGACTGGCTGGCTGGCTGGCTGGCTGACTGGCTGACTGGCTGGCTGGCTGGCTGGCTGGCCGGCCGGCTGGCTGGCTGGCTGGCTGGCTGGCTGGCTGGCTGGCTGGCTGGCTGGCTGGCTGGCTGGCTGGCTGGCTGGCTGGCTGGCTGGCTGGCCGAGAGGCCACACTACGCAGGAGGTGCAACGTTCCATGCCAGGCAATCCTCATCCTGGTCGTATTTTTGAAAGGGCTTGTTTTGCCACACCGGTCTGATTTCACACAAGGCATTCATACATGCTTTGTGAATTATAGCTGAGCAATAATTGGGAGTCCAGAGTTTTGGCCATACGGTGTCTCTTCTGATGGCACTTTCTGTGGTATCTTTACTTTATGCTCCAAACCTGACGGATTTCTTACAAGGACCCATGGCAAATGGAGTTATTGGTGATGGTTATTTTACCAAACACACTCTATATGATTGCACAACTCTGCAAATAATATAGCTTATTATTTCGTCAAAACTGGTGCACTAGACTCACTACCCCTCCTACACCGAAACATTAACCACAGCAGGAGCAGCCTTGTCAACGCGCTTCATGATCCCCGCAATCACCTTCCCGGGCCCGAGCTCATAGCTCTCCGTCAACCCACGCGCCAGCAGCTGCTTGAGCGACCCCTCCCATTGCACGGGCGACGTGATCTGCTGCGCGAGGATGCGCTTGATGACCGCGGGGTCCGAGTGCGGGCGCATGTCCACGTTGGAGACCACTGGGATGCGCGGCGTGTGGAACGTGGTGTTCGCAAGGGCTTCCTCCAGGCGGGGCACGGCCGGGGCCATGAAGCGCGTGTGGAAGGCGCCTGCCACGGCTAGACGCACCTGGGGGGTTGGGAGGTGGGGGAGGGAGGATGGGAGGGGGGTGGGGGTGTAACGGAGGGGAGAAAGGGGCGTGTGAGTAGTGGGCGACGTGATCTGCTGACCAGGGTCCGAGTGCGGGCGCTTGATGACAGCAGGGTCCGAGTGCGGGCGCATGTCCACGTTGGAGACCACTGGGATGCGCGGCGCGTGGAAGGTCGTGTTTGCCAGGGCTTCCTCCAGGCGGGGGACCGCGGGGGCCATGAAGCGCGTGTGGAAGGCGCCTGCTACGGCTAGACGCACCTGGGAGGTGGGGAGGCGGGGGAGGGTGGATGGGACGGGGCGTGGGGGGGGTGGATGGGTTGGGAGAAGAGGGGAACGTGATGGAAGGAAGGTGGGATTGAATGAGAGGAGAGATGGGATAATGGGTATGGGTGGGAAACGGAGATATTGGGAATACGGTGTCCTGGAGAGTGAGGCGTGGTGGAGAGAGAGTGGAAGGACGAGAGAGAGTGGAAGGACAAGAGACCACGACGTGTTAGGGAGGAAGGCTTACTGTCATGCGGGCCTTGAACGACTTGGCCTTGGCCTCCACCGCTTGGCACCCCTCCACACCTCCGGACACAGCATAATTACCCTGCACAATGCAAAAGAAGGGAAAGGTGAGGCAGATGGAGAAACGAAAAGGTAGCCACAAATGAAAAAAGGAGGGTGGGGGAGCGGCACGGCAGGGAAAGGAAAGTAAGAAGGAGATGGGGGGGGGGGTGTGGGGGGAGGTGAAGTGGGGGAGCAGGGGTGGGGAGCATTCTTTCTGCTCGCTCCGCACCTTCCTTGCCATCATTATCCACCTTCCCCAATCAACCAACCTCTACACTTTCTCCACCCATCCCCCCGGCCCCCCCACCCCCCCGCGTCTCGCTCCCCCCAGCCCCCCGCGTCTCTCTCCCCCCACGCCTTCCCCTGTCCGCAGCGCACGCACGTTGCAGAGGAAGTTGGCGATCTGCACGCGCTGGCTCTCCTCCACGTCCGCGTTCGCGGCGTCGCACAGCTCCTGCACCTTGTCCGCGCCCAGCCCGATCACGCTCACCATCGCGCTCGGCGCCGCGTCCGCCGCCGCCTGGTGGAGCACGCGGGCGAGAGGGAGGAGAGGGGTTTGGAAGGAAAGGAAGGGGAAGTGAGTCGAGAAGTGGCAGTGCAAAGAGATAAGGCGAAAGAGATGAGGGTGGAGAGGGGACGAAAGAGGAGGAAGGGAGGGGGAAGAGGGGGAAGGGAGCAGAGGGGAGGGAGGGGAGGAGAGGCGGAGGGGGAGCGAGAAGCGTAAAGGGCAGAAAGGTAAACGTGGAAAAGAGTATGGTGGGAGATAGGTGGGAAACCCGCGCTAAACCCCCTCCGCCCTCCACGCATACTACGTTGCCTCTCCCCCTCCCCCTCACACACACACAAAGAGCTCCCTCCCGCCCTCGCTCCCACTTCTCGCGGCCCCATTCGCTCATACGCCTCACCTCCCCCCTCATCGCCGCCCTCATATACCTGCATGGCCTGGCCGCGCAGCTGCACGAGGCGCAGCCCGTCCTCGAAGCTGAACGCGTCGGCGAACGCGAGCGCCGTGTACTCGCCCAGGCTCAGCCCCGCCGCCACGTCGATGCTCGCCAGCTTCGCCGCGCCGCCCTCCTGTGCGCGCAGCGCCTCGACGGCCGCCAGCGACGCAACGTAGATGGCCGGCTGGCTGACGGCCGTGGAGTCGAGCTTCTCCTTGGGCCCGTTCACGCACACGTCGAGCAGATCGTAGCTGCGCGCGGGAGCGCGGGGGGGCGGAAGACAAGTGGGGGCGGAGAGGTGGGGGGAGGGGGGGGGGTGTGGGGGGGACGGGGCGGAAGGGGAGGAGACGGGGGATGAACGAAGAACACGCGGGGAAACGAGAGAGTGACAGATAGAGGGGGGAGGAAGGATAGCGCGTGCGGGTGAAACCGGGATCAAGGACGTCACTGGCGTGCAAGAAAACAATTATAACGCTCAAACGAAACGATCATTACCAGCCGCAGAGTCAGAGCACCAGTGTCAGACAAGCCAGAGCAGAACCAACCAACCAGGAGTCCATTCCCCCCTTCCATCGTGACTAGCAATATTTCCATTTCGCCCCCCCTCCCCACCCATTCCCCTTTCCCCCACCACCGTATACCCGACTCCCCCCTCCCCTCCCCCCTCCCCCCTCCAGCCCCCCTCCCCCTTCCCCCACCCGCGGGAAAAGGTCGTTTCCGCACACACCACGCGCGCAACTCACCCGAGGATCTCGCTGGCCTTGGCGAACAGCGCCGCCGCGGCCGGCACGGCGGCGGCTTCCGCGCCCATGCCGACGCTCTGCGCGCCCTGGCCGGGGAAGAGCGCGGCGACCGTGACCTTGTAGTCGCCGAACGCATCGTCCGACACCGTCGCCGCCTCCGCGCGGCACTGTAGGTGGCGCTGCGGCTGGCGCTGCGACCGACGTGCGACTGACGAGAGGCGCTGCGACGCGCTGATGACGGAGGAGCGTCGGGGGATGAGAGGGGTACCGCAAGAGGGAGGTACGGGCGAGGGGGGAAGTCGGAAGAAGGGCAGATGTGGACAGGAGGGGGCGAGATGTGGCGCCGTGAGCATGGGGGAGTTATCAAATCAACCCAGATGTTAGATTAGGAGTTGAGAACATGCGAGGACATGAGGTGTATTTAGAGTACAACCACTAGTGTGACGCTGACTGGCGTTCATTCCAGGTCGCGTGGGAGATGGAACATGAATTCGTGAGGCATCTGTACAGCTCCTTAATACGACATGGCGTCGTGCGACATGGCGTCGTGCGACATGGCGTCGTGCGACATGGCTTCGTGCGACATGGCGTCGTGCGACATGGCGTCGTGCGACATGGCTTCGTGCGACATGGCGTCGTGCGACATGGCGTCGGGCGGAACATTGTAGGGCAGATAATTATACGAGTGTCCTCAGCTCTCATAGCATGAAACCCACTTGCGACGCACTTACAGTGTCGACTCGCCGTTACCACACAGAACTGACAAGCCCTTGCGGAAAGGGAGGAGGAGGGTGAGGAAAGAGGAGTCAGGAGGAGGGAAGGAGGAAGAGGAGGAGGTGAAGATGGGATAGGTGAGAAGGAGGGGACGGATAGGGAGAGGAGGAGAAGGTGGGAGTGAAGGAGGGAGGAGAGGAGGAGGGGAGGGCAAGGCAGCTCTGCGTGGCACGTGCGAGAAGACGGCTGGCGTCATTCAGGCGATTGGTTCACATCACTGGACACTGCCATGGTTGGCGATTGGTTCCGCCATATAGTTTAGAACCTCCTAGATTTGCACATGCAGGCATGCATCAGGCGAGTGAAGGTGATCCAGCGAACGGGCCGGCAAGATGCCAAGCGGACTTGAAGATAACTCCGACACTGGGAGGAAGCGACAACAGCGGGAGACCCTGCGACAACAACGGATGCCCAGGGGAATTGACGACGACCCAGTAAAGAATCCACTAATCACCTGCCGATGGAGGGAGCGGCTCTAAACGCGAGCTGGCGTGTCGAAAGCGGCCGGATGCCGGCGTTGCTGACGGCGCCTGTGAGGGCCGCAGAAACGCGGGATGTGACGGCAGCCATGATTTGGATGGATCAGGAAAGCTTGTAAACAAAAGCTGTCTCTCCCTGCAACCCGAGGATATGGCAGCCTTCCGTGGAATGGGAAAATAGATAGGAAGCTGGGACAGAGAAAAGGGAATGTCGCTGGATAAAAGCAGCTGCAGCGATGGGTTGAACGGAGGCGCCATGGCGGAGGTTTCCAGATCAGGAATGGGAGGTCAGCACAGGATGAAAACCAAAATCCCGAATTCCTGAGGAAGGGCAGTGATTGAGGGAATTGAGCGACAGGAGTGGTGGTGATGGATTTTGACGATTGGATTGCCGCGTGGAT